ACCGAGGCGAAGAACTTGCGCAGGGCTAGCCCGGCGATGGAGTTGAGGGCGGTGTTGATAAAGGTCAGCCGCTCCGCGATGGCCACGGAAGATCGCCTTAGGGTGGAATGGCTCCGCATGCGCGCCTGGGGGAGGTTGGGCCGAGAAGTTGAGCTCCGCCTCCGCCGGGGGACGGCGTGCGGGATGTTGGAGATGATCCCTGGCTGAGTGCCAAACATCGAAGGAGTAGAATGCATCCTTGGAAGATGGTGTGGGTCGAAGAATGGGTGATTAAAATAAAAAAAAAACTGTACAGTGCTCTTTAGACGGTGTTAGAAAAAGAGCAAAGATAAAAAATAACCTTCCGACAGCTCTCTACTGAATCGATATATGTATATATGTCTAATTTCACGCGCAAATAACTTTTAATGAAATATGGCGTATACAAAAACCTTTAGAATGTTACAGTAAAAAGACATTCTCAAAGGGATGATGATTCAAAAGTGGTGGAAAATTTCCAAAGATTTAATATGAAAGTTATATAAAAATACATCCATTAGATATTCTCACTTTCCATTTAGTTTCTTGCCATCGGTGAGTGACTTCCATTATTGATATTTTATATAAGTGTGGATATATACATTAGGAATGTGTGTGTGTGCATTAAAACCAAATAGAATATAATCTAAATCTGATTTTTGGATGATCATCGATCAAAAATCATCGTATTGGTTGTAAATCCATACGCAGAAGATTAACGGAAACTACATGAAGTCCAATCAATAGAAGTACGCCTGGAATATCCGCACCACAGTGGCTATCTAAAGATCAATACAAATGACCTTGAATAATATAAATATATAATCGTACAAACTACCAGAAATTTTACATCATAAGAGAGAAAAGCACATCAATGTAAATGTTCGGAAAAAAATCTACAAAACGAAAAATTCGTTTTTTAGTATTGCATGCTCAACAGCACAACACAAGAATAGGGAAAGTCAAAAATAGGAAAGACATCACGATGGACTAAACCCCTTTTTTTTTTAGCCCCTCCGCCTATCCCTCTCTTAGGTTTGGGATTTTAGGGTAGATAGACGGTCCGCCATGGCCTCCTCCTGACTTCTCGTTATTACAGTGGTTTTGGGGTCGTGAGGGTATACGTACTTCTCAAAAAGCTCTCTGTCCATTTTCTCATAATCCACAAACGAAAGGCGCTGAACACATTCCTTCAACTCATTCGGTCCTATTTTTTTGGTTTCTTGTCTTGGAAAGTAGCGATTTTCAAGGTCCTGTCGAATCTTTTTAGACTTCTCGAGTTCAATATCATACATTCGACGCACCTGGTCTTCAATTTCACTACTACTTAGGACCTTGTCATTTTTATGAACCTCGGCATTGGCCTTTCGCTCGCGCTCCTCCTTGGAGAGTTGAAACCGCTGAAGTTGTAAATTATAAATACGTTCAATAAGACGTTCCTCCTCCTCTTTCGAAATATGTTCTTTGGATTTCTGAGGACGCATGCGTTTGAGTGAGTTCTCTCGCTCTGCTTCGCGCTGAGCCATTATATCCATCTGGCGGTAATATAGTCGCTTGACAAGCTTCTCCTCTTCATCCTGGCTAATAGTCAATTGGTGATTGCTGGGGAGAGAATAATCTTGATTCATAGCCATAACCATATAAAAGCAGTGAAGATAAAAGCGCAGTAATAATAACACTAATAGGGGAAATAAACTAGAATGTGATGCTGTTGATCTTACGACACCTTCGAACACATGGCAAAGAAAGAACGAAAGTGGCAAAGAAAAAGTCTGGTATGTCGAAAGAAAGGGTATCTGTAAACCAATTAGATACACATGCAAAATAATTACAAATAATATGAAGAAAAGTAAGACGAAAAACCTTACTCAGAGCTACAGTCTCAAAAAAAAAAGTCTCTCGAGAGGATAGAAGAATAGAAGGCTATGAAATGCTGATGGGTAACTTTAAATTTTCTATTGTTCATTACCGCGACTGAACTTGAGTTCTTCTGTAAAGACAGCGTGAGCCTCCGTGTAAGCATTTGTGGGATCGTGGTAGAAGCTCTCCGCGGATTGAGCGACATTCACCGTGTGCGTTCTTCCCACCTTCCGGAACCCATGAAGTGGTAAATCTGAAGAGGAATAATTCACTTTTAAAGGTGCATCTTCACGAGTAAAGAATACCCGGGCGGCCTCGCGCACATGAGGAGCCGCCATCTCCTCGGGAAGCACCTCCAAATCCGCATGCCCGAGCAGCAAACACTGATGCTTTCCCCAACGAAGCCGGCGATACGTTTCCGCGATGTCCTCACTTTGCAGGAGAATCACCAAATCGTAGTTCACGCCCTTGCTGAACTGGGCCTCACGCAAAATCCGTGTGCGTTCGCGGTAGTTCTGCAGAGGATTCTCCCCCGTGAAGGTTTTCACGGGGGCCGAGCTCGTGGAGGGGGGGGATAAAGGCCGCGGGAGGCAGGCACTCCGCGCCGTCCGCACCTCAGGGCAGTGGGTCGAAATAAACCCACTAAATTCCCTACAGAGCTCCCGCTCCACCCGCCCGTACGCGATCGCGAGGAGCTGATCATGGTGTAAAACGCGATCGGTCGCCTCGCGCGCGAGGACGACCTCCAGCGGGGAGAAAGGGTTCAAAATAATGTCGACCTTCTCGGAGACAATCGAGGCGTTGTGAAGAAGGGTGTCCACGTCGGCGAAGTACCCGATAAAGTGATTGCGAGTAAAGGGCCCGAAAATGGGAAGTGGGGTGGCTTGCTTTAGCTTAAAGGGCCGAACACGCGCCACGGCCTCCCAAAAGGCCTTCCGCGTGGCGTCCGCACGGGGATCCTCCTCAGGAAGGGGGGTGTTCGCACGTCGCGCAGTGCGGGCCGCAGGACGCGGTGGTTTAATGCGCCTCCGCGCGTTTCGGAGGCGCCGACAGCCGAACTTTCCCCTTCCAGCCGAAAAGCGTTTTGGGGATTTTGGCCCCACGGGGCTCACCCCTCGAACCGGCGTCCGACTCTCGCATTTCGCCTTTGCAGTCCGCGGGTCCGCCTCGTCCTTGTCATTCATCGTGGTGAAGAGGACCTCGGTGCTGTCAACCCCTTCCGCAACCGGATTCGATCGGCTCGAAGAAGAAGAAACCGAGGGCGGGGCCGAAAATGCCCCCGGCGGGGATAAAAAAACAGAAGACCTCTCATCCGGGCCCTCCGCGGCGTCGTGAGGGCTCTCCCCTTCCCCCGCCGCCCAGAGGACCCCGGCGGGATCCCGCGCCGTAAAGCCAAACCGCTGGCAAAAAAGACGGAGATACTCGATCGAGGTGAAAACGGGCAGCGCGAGAAAGCGGTCGAGGGCAAAAATCTGCGGTTTTACGTCGAGCGGATCCCACCGCCCCACCGGCGAGGCCAGTGAAAGCAGCGCCCCGCCGATAAGTCGCCGAATGAGCTCCAACTCCGCCCGCGCATCGCGATTTTCCGTCAAGCTGAAGGCGATCGCGCTCTCCAACTCGGGATTGCGCGGGAGGAGGTGGAGGGGCGAGTGGGATCGCCATGAAGTGGCCTGGGGTCTTTCCCCCTTCGGCCCCGGCCGGGATGACCCGCAAAAGGCCAAAAGCCGCCGCCGTTCTCGCAAAAAAGACTCGGCCTGGCGATTCCCGCGCTGAAGGTCGGTGAGTCGCCGGCGAAGGCTACGGAGGGGGTGGGATTTCGACGAGCGGAAGGACCTCGGGCGGAGAAACAGAAGGGTAGGCCACATAAAAAACCGTGTTTGGGGTCGGCCTGTTTGAGATCAAACAATCCAACAGTGGAAAAAAAAGGGAGGAGGGAAAGAAGGGAAATTAAATTTGGATTAGAATTAAATATAGAGGATGAATATCAAACTTACAACATCAAGAAAACAATGAAATTAGGGGTGACAATGTGATGCTCAAAGAACTGATGACCCGTAAAACAAAAAGTGCATGAATGCAAAAGAAAGCGAACTGTGTACATGGGAACAATTATACTACCAATTTTTCTATATATCACCTTCTAAACCTTTGGCATTTATAACCCGAAGGGGAGATGTAGAGAAAAAAACATAGTGTCCCAGGTTCTATAAATACGCACATCTTATGTACATACACCTCAAAAACCATTGAATTCGTCACAAAAAAAAGTTATGGTAAAGACACAAATAATCGAACTATACTTTTCTTAAATACATAAGATTCAAATTTAAACAAAATATAAATAAACTTTGCTACAAATAAAAGTATTGAGAACAATAACAATATCAAACATTGTGAAAGGAGAATAAAATCATGCTAAATTTCGAAAATATCTCAAAGATGTACATTTTTTCTCCTGTTTCACTATCTACTCAATTTACTGCCGTTGAACTGGTGTGATGGTCGCGTTTGTCTTCTGAACTCCGTCTCGTAAATTAATTGAAGAATTGCTCACGAATAGTGGCCTGCCATAATTTGATGCTCGCGGTAATGGCTGCAGCGTCCCTTCATAAGTCACTCCCTGAGTATCGGTGAGAGGGGTTGCTCCCACACGAGATGACCCATTATGAAAAATGGCAGGCAATTTAGCTGAACTTGGTCGCAGAGAAATCACATGGCCTTCTCTTTGAAACATTTGATTTATGGCATCCTCCAATGCATAAAGCTCCTGTCGTTCGGCTTTGTTGGTTTCGAGTAAGCCCGCCGCCAACTCAAGGCCCTCAACACGGTGCATCAGATCATTGTTAGAAGCCCCTAAACCCGGGCTGGCCGTCAAAGATCTTCGTTCCATTGCCTGTAGGTCTTTTTTGTTCGGAATATTACCCGAATGAACGCTGATTGAGGATCCTGGTCCCATACTAGATGCATTGGACTGTGGAACAGGACTGTTCTGATATGCAGCGATATTTCGCTCGAAGGGAGAAGTTCTAGAGAGACTCGCCGCTGTTTCTAATTGGGATACACGATTTGCGAGTTCCTCCACAATTATGTTAACAGTGGCATCGCTGCTGCTTACCCCCCTGGTGTCCTGCTCAAATAATTTACCAGGTAAGACTTCGTTCTGGTTGCCTAGACTAGTTCTTCCTGCTGTACTAAGCTCAGACTTGGCATCCTCCAGGGTACTCAGACGCCTATTTAAGCCTTCCAGCGTATCCTGAACCTCCGCTATAACCCCACGAGTGTCGGAAGCGCTACGATCGGCTTTCAGCTTTATGGAATTCGTCGCCTGCGTGTTGATCATTAAACGTAATACATCCAGCTCATCGCGAAGCTTTTCAAAGATCGGCAAACTGAGCACGTACTCGGTGCGTTCATCGACACTGTGCTCGAATTGAGAAGGGTCTTTTTCGTCGCGCCGGGTCAAAAGAGTGATCCGCTCCAGATCCCCATTCCAGAGATCCGCGAATGACTGCACACCGGCTAACGACTGCTCCAGGGTCTTTAACAGGGTCGCGTTGTGCTCCACTTGCGCCTCCAACTCCCGCAGGGTTGTGGTGGTGGTGTCCATTGTGGACTGAAATTTAGTTTCAACCTCGCGACGCTCAGACACATCTTCGGCTTGTTTTTTCGTCAGATCCTCCAGATTCGTTGAGAGGCCCGTGGTAATCTTTCGTAGCTCCTCGATACTGTCTAGCATCTCTTCCTTATTGGATGTCTTGGATCTAAGCTCATCCACCTCCTCTTGCAAACGCGCGCATTTCTGTGTAAGCGTGTCTATGCTCTTTCGCATATCATCGATGTCATCTTCGTGTCCATTACCCTGATCAATGATAACACGAATAATATCAGAAAGACGACTATAACTAAGGGTCAATTGGGCTTCAATAATGTCCGGGACAGTTCTTACATCAAAATCCACCAAAGGCATTTTTTTTGTAGTAGACTGAAAGATATTATGTGTAAGAATGAGTATGAGTGAACGGCTTAAACTATAGTAGAAATTATACGGTGGCTGTTGATATATATATATTATTTAATATATATATATATATATGTGTGTGTATAAACATATATATATATATTAATATATATATATCTGATCTACTATGCAGCCAAAACTAGTAATATCTAAAAAAAAAGCTTAATTAGAAAACAATAAAATAAGAAAACT